ATATTTAACTGACTTGTTTTAGTACTGTTTTAAGTTGTACTGAACAGCTAGACTCCTGATATTTCGAGACTTGTATTCAGCGGTAATCATTAATACCATAGTGACTAAGTTGAGTCTCCTTTACATTAATGTGCTGTTGGAAGTTATCTATGTTTGATTATTAATAGTAACTACCAAGGGCCTAGTGATAGTTTAATTGTCTGTCACTGTTGAGATAGACAGAAGAGGTTTCTGATAATTCTGTAATCATTGTATCTTATGTGAAATTATAGAATATAGAACCAGTTTTTAACCATAATCAATTTGTCTGGATGTGATCATTTATTAAGTGTTTTCTTGTCTGGAGGGATACTGCTTTTTAGTAGTTTAATTAAAAAAGGGAATTATGTGGGATTACTAGTTAACACGCAACATAGTCCATACCCCATGTAGTTTTCTAAAATACCAAGTATACGTCGGGTTAAACAAAGTGCTTTTTTGTCCTTCTGCAAATTAAGTGAAAATAAATATAAATAGTGTCATAACTGTCACTCTAAATCTACATGCCACAAGTATTCATAATCAAAAGTGCATGTATATCGCTTTTTAAATTGCTGTTGATGTGAGTTTTTGTTTAAAATGTATACAGATACGTCGAACCGAACTTATTTAAAGTGTCATAAAATATGACAATGAATACTTTACTATAAAATAGGGCTACTAAGCCAACAGGCTATCTATTTCAAATCAGTAGCCGACCTAGAATTCTTTTATCCGGGCCTCTCTCACGAGCGACAATAAAATTATAAAAAAACACTTATACATTTTCCCGTATCATAAACTTGTCTTATATGACATACATCCGCCCCACCCCTCCAAAAATGCAAATTGTATTTTTTCCCATTTATTTCATTTGAGAAATTTGGTGCATGAAGAGTGACAGACAGCTCTGGCAGAGACGGTCACTCTACAAGCTAATAACATAATTCTCATTTACAAAGCAAAAGAAAAGAAAGGCTGAAGGAAGAAAACAGATAGATTATATATTTTTGATTTGGCGGCGCCAGGGACGGGGGGGGGGGGGTCATAAGAATCCATTTTACTCTGCTGCATAGTACAAGTATGGGAGGTTTTTTTCTTCCCATCCCTCCCTAACACGTCCTTATTATTTTGGATTTAAAAGTGCTTTTGATGACACAGGCAATAGCAAAGTTAAAGTTTATATAGTTATTTATTTATAATTTATTGAACCTTGTATTTTGTTAAAGAAAATTGAATTTCAAACTTTAGTTTGTATACCTTGAATGAAGGAGATTTAACTTTGATGTAATCAACAAAAAATAGTTGAAGAACATTGACATTGCTATAATAAAGAATACAAATGTAAATGGGATGTGTGTATGTTGTTATATTGTATGCGTTGTTGACAGTAATGAATATCACCATGGGCAGATAACATGTGCAAAGTGGAAATAATGATTACAGTAATAACTTTATCGGTTGTCTTTGTAAACTGGCCTTTTCCCAGGATAAAAATAGCTGGATACTATTATTACCTCCTCCCCCTCCCCCACAATATATATAATTATATACGACTAATATATACAAATAATAATAAAATATTATCATTGCAAAATAGTTTAAGAATATATTAAATGAAACTTGTTAAGGTCCTGAAGTGCTCCATAATGGTTAATTTAAAAAAAATACCTCCCCCTCCACCTCAACACACATACTTACAAACCCATTTAGATAGAGGAAATGAAAGAGAGAAGGTGGGAGGGAGAGAGAGGGAGAATAGGGGAGTGAGAGAGAGAGAGAGAGAGAGAGAGAGAAAGGTTTGGGGAAAAGCCTATTTAACTTTTTGTCTGTAATATGTATATAGACCTAGATATGATTTTGTTGTGATAGTAGGAAATTTGAGTGACTACCACAAACAGCAGATCAGAGTAGGAAGCGTTGTAGTCGATAGTGGCTTCAGGGGCTTCAAAGGGGGGGGGGGAGGGGTGTGGGGTGCGACACACCCCCCCCCCCCCCCCACCCCCCCCCCCCACCTACCTGTCAGGATTTCGTCGGTAAAATTGCGCTGCCGTCGGGGAAAAAAGAGAGATAAAGGGAAAGAAAAGAAAAAAAGAAAAGGAAAAGAAAGAAAGGAAAGAAAGAAAAAGGAAAAAGGAAAGAAAAGAGAAAAAAGGAAGAGAAAGGAAAGAAAAGAGAAAAAGAAAAGAGGGAGGAAAGGAAAAGAAAGAAAAAGGGAAAAAAAGAAGAAAAAGAGAAAAGGGAAACAAAAGAACGGGGGGTAAACGAGAGGAGAGAGAGGGGAGGGTAAGAGCCTGAGAGAGGAGGAGTGGGAGTAAAAGAGAGAGGGGTTTGTTGGGTGGACTTGTCTCGTCGAGGGTATGTTCCTATAATTATGTCGGGTCAGCTCTGTCGGTATTCTTGTTCGATCCTAGTGTACTATATCAATGCAGAAGTTTGAAGTTGGTGAGATGTAAAATGTTGGTCGGCCGACAAGTTATTATTTCCCTAAATGACATGTGACTTCTCTTTTTTGTTATCCGCTGTGACGACTTCAAGAGTGACTTCAACTACAATATGAGTATTTTCTCGAAGTTTCACTTTCCTATAATATCAGCTACAGAAATCAGAGGTTTAAAATTTTCGGGAAACTAAATTCAAACCAGGAATAAGAGTCAACAACGGTGCAACGAATCGTCTTCCTTTCTCTAATATTAATATGATGAAACGCAAAGAGAGAGCTTCCGCGCTTCGCGCGAGAGGGAGAAACTTCATTTGGACAAGGATTAAGAGCCGAGAACAGTAACACGAATCGTTTGTTTTTCTCTAATATTAAGATGAAACGCCAAAGCTTCCGCGCTTCGCGCAGAAGGGGGAAACTTCATTTGGACAAGGATAAAGAGTTGATAACGGTACAACAAGTCGTCTTTTTTCTCTAATAAGGAAACGTCTTAGCTTCCGCGCTTCGCGCGGGAGGGGAAACTGAATTCGGACAAGGATTAAGAGTCGTTAACAGTAATACGAAACGTTTGCTTTCTCTAATATTAAGATGAAACGCCAAAGCTTCCGCGCTTCGCGCGGGAAGGGGAAACTTCATTTGGACAAGGATTAAGAGTCGAGAACGGTACAACGAATCGTCTTCCTCCTCTAATAATCAGGGAAACGTCTAAGCTGAAACTGAATTCAATCAAATTTATTAGGGTTAAGAGTCGCGAACGGTACAGCGAATCGTCTTCTTTCTCTATTAATTTAAGGAAATGTCAAAGTTCCCGCGCTTCGCGCGGGAGGGAGGAAACTGAATTCAGACAATTTTATTAGGGTTAAGATTCGCGAACGGTACAACGAATCGTCTTATTTCTCTCATAATTTAATGAGGGGGAGAACTTAATTCGGATAAGGATTGAGAGTCTATAGAACAGTACAACAAATCGTATGCTTTTTCTCATAGTCTCAATGAAACGTCATAGCCTGGGAAAAACTGAATTCAGGCAATTGGGTTAAGAGTAGAGAACGGTTTAACAAATCGTCTTCTTTCTAAAATAATTTAATGAGACGTCCAAACTTTGCGTGGGAGGGGAAACTTCATTCAAACACGGGATTAAGAGTTGAGAACGGTACAAAGAATCGTCTACTTTCTCTAATAATTTAATGAAAGTCTAAGTTTCCGCGCTATGCGCGGGATGGGGAAACTGAATTCAGACTAGAAATAAGAGTCGAGAACGTACGGTACAACAAATCGTCTTCCTTTTCTAATAATTTAATGAAACGTCTAAGCTTCGCGCTGGAGGCCTTTCACCCCCCCCCCCCCCCCCCCGGCCAAGGAGCGCGCTCTGTAAGTGATTCGCTTGCTCACTACCGCCCCTCCAGTTGACGAAATAATTCGGATATTTATGTCGTCGAGGAAAACGAACATTTGCGCATACGCAAGTACCAACTATAGATAATACCTAGGAAAAACAATTTAGCCTTCGGCCCCGGTTTTATACTTACTTTATAGGGTTAAATTTGTAACATTAATTTGTTGAATTTAAATTTGTCGGTAATTTGTGGCTAGTTTTGTCGGTAATCGTTGGCCAGTACACCCCCTTACCCCCCCCCCCCCCAACTGAAATAGGTCTAGCGACGCCCCTGAGTAGAAGAGGACGTAATTTAGTCTCAATTATTTCAGTCCTATTTTATAGGTTATTAAACAAAATCTGTACCTACAGGAGAATTATAATATGCATACAGCGTACAAGGTTAGCTTGATTTATTTAATAGACCGGTTTTACTAACATTTTCAAATGTATGGATGTTTCTTTTCTGGGGACCATGGGACGAGTTATTCTATAACCAGTCTGCATGCATAACTTGTTGATATGTCAGGCAAACCTCGAGAACGCTTTCGTGTCGTCAATAACAACCTTTGTTTAAAAAGTATGCATACATTTGAGTATGTTAGTAAGCCGGCCTATGTTTTGTATAGGGAACGAACAAAACACCTGCAAAACAAATCACAAAACCGTCGATCTAACACTTCGTATCACACGCCCTTTATGACCCTCGCGTTTGTCGCCACGCCCCATTGAGGTATGGATAGCCGTAGTATAGTAAAGTGTAGCATTGACAAGTAAAAGAAATAAATGTTTCTTGGCATAGAGAATAAATATTTTTTTAACATTGGCCATTTGGAAATGATTTTCTACTGCACTGTGTTTGTTCTTTTTCCTTTCTTGGTTAAGAACAGCCAAGAGAACGTCAGTGAACGTTAATTGAAAACCGGCAGGGATCGTGCCGAAATGGCTTTTCATAGTCATGTCAACAACGTGCGCGCGCACAAGCGTTGCACGTTGCATAAAGTACAGGTGGTCGCAAGGCAAGGATTTGTACAGTTTGTGTAGCACGTAGCTGCTGCTAGTTCTATTCTTCTATACTCTAATTTTTATAATATAAACAGAACTGAGATCCCACATTAATATAGATTCTTTATCTTGCATTCTAAAGAACTAGGTCTATTACACAATGTCAGATATCACGGTGGCCGTGCACAAACGCTCGTTCTGCATAAAACGATAGAAATGCACACCGGTGGTGAGCCGTTGCGGATTATCATCTCTGGCTACCCCCAAATCGTGGGGACACGATATTGGCAAAGCGCTCGTATGTACGCGACAACTTGGACCCCTTCGAAAAGCTCTCATGCTTGAACCAAGGGGCCACTTTGACATGTACGGAGCCCTCCTTGTGAAACCGGACCACCCCAAGGCAGATTTGCCACTTTATTCTTGCACAATGAAGGCTACAGTACAATGTGTGGTCATGCGACCATTGCGATGGCCAGATATGCAGTGGATTTTGGACTCGTTCAGCCGGTTTCGCCAGAGACCAAGTTAATCTTCAATGTCCGTGCGGATTGGTCAGAAGTTTTGTAGAATATGACGACAAAACAAAGTTTTCAGGAAGAACGAGATTTCTGAGTGCTCCTGCCTTTTGTTTTTAGGACAGGTAAATTACCTTTTTTCTGCACTGGACTCCTAGAGTGTGGGTTACGTGGCGGAAACTTCTTTTTTAAACCAATAATTGTCAGTGTCACTGAAATTTTAAATATTGTCAATACAATGCCTAGTGGAAACAGTTCAGGGTATGATAGTATCAGTACAAGTCTTTTAAAGTCTGTAGTCAATTTCTTACAAAGTATCCTTATTAGTCTTCTTCATTTTTTGAGTGGTGACCTTTTTAAAGTGTGGTTAAAATAACAGTATCTTGTGAATTTTGTTAACATGCTTTTGCATCTGAACTAATTGTACATGTAGTCTAGACTCTATGTGAAGAAATTGCCCATGGCCATGTCAAAGCAAGATTTTGTTTTTCTAAAACAAGCTTTTGTGTACCGTATGTAGTATAAATGAAGTTTAGGATCTTTGTGGTGTAAAAATATAAGTAAAGTTAAGTTACTTTGTAAGTGTATTTTTTTAATTTTTTATTTTTTTATTGTTGAAAAAAGGAAAAACACAAATATATGTAGTCAACCTTGCATAAATCAAACTCACATAGACAAATTCTATTTCAAACCATTTCATAAGTCAAAGGTAATCACAAGTATCCCCCCCCCCCCCCCTCTTTATTGTCTGGTGGTTTTTCACCCATAAGTCCACTTTCATCTTAGTCAAAGATATATCATAGGTCGCAGTAGATTCAACTTATGCGAGGTTGACCGTATATGAGTATCTCCGTAATCCGTGTGGGGGGGGGGGGATGTCCAGTGGCATAGCTTAAGTCCAGCCGTCGAGGGCGCAAAGGCACGGGTCTTACTCGGAAAATTCATTGCAAATTTACAAGGCTGCTGGTTCAGTCATCTTTTCTCTTCCTTTTCCTTTTCCCTTTTTTCTCTCTTTTTCTCCTTTTCTTTCATTTTTTTTGTTTTTTTTTTTTTTTTCATCATCCGAAGGGGGGGGGGGGGGCTTCACCATAGTTACACTACTGGGGATTTCATTGAGGACTGTACATCATCAACAAGCAAAAAGCAAAAATGTGTAAAAACTGAAAAGGGTACCTTTGTTCAGAACATAATATGGGTATCAATTCAGGGTAGTTAAAGGTAAAGACCAGTAATGGTCATGCGATTGCATTGTGAAAGAAACGTTGTGGAATCGATCAGAAAAGTTGATCATCTAGCATCTAGCATCTGCAAGGTTCTGGAATCATCAAAATGATAAGAAATTTGGCCCATTCTTCGTAAAGTTACAAGCACTATACACAGAAAGATGTATATGGGACTACCCTATCTCTCTCACCAGACCATGAGAGAGATAAATTTACCAAATATATGAATTAGTAGGCAGTTTCCCGGCAAATTTTTATCATCATGTATTAGTCAAAACATATTCTTTCACATGATTGGTAATGAGAGCTTCCATTTCATTTTTTTGAAATTGGGGCGTTGCCAATACTGGTCTTTACCTTTAAGAAGGAATATACGTTGAAATGGTAGCACATTTTTATTTTCTTCGAATAGGGTGTAAAATACTAAAATACCAGGCAAGAACTCCTCTGTACTCTGTACATACAAAAAATTTGCTGTTAGGGCAGGGAGGTGAGACTCACATGCCCTGGTTAGGGTGCCTTTCAGATAGTGATTTCATGGATGATGTACGGTGCTCAAAGCGACTTCTTGTAAATCATTTGATTCAGTAGATTACATTAGACTCCCAGACCTGCATTGAATTATTCAGGTCAGTAATGGGACAATCCCCCCCCCCCCCACACCTCAGCCACCAGGGCAGCAGCTGCCAACCTTGTGCGACCAAAAAAAGGAATCATGATGGCAAAAAAAAGGAATTCATAAAAACAAAACTTATAACCACGCGTGACACACTTCCAATGCAGAAATGTTCATTTATCATGCTGTTTTTTTCCATACAAGCAGGAATTTTTTTTGTGGTTATTTTAGTATTAACGGCATTTTATTTATATAAATTTTATAAATTAGTTTTCAATTGAATTTGTGATCGAATCACCATTTTAGGGCAGTTGTTTGACGTACGGTACATGTTTGTTTATGAATAAAAACGTAATACCGTAATTGGGAGGAAAAACGGAGTCATTCCGGCAAAAACGGAATGGTTGGCAGCTCTGTCAGGGTGAGGGTGAGGGGGGGGGGGGGGGGGGTGGGGAGGGACATGTTAATGATATTGTGTAGGATAAGGGTCAAGTGGTAATGCCCTAGAACCATTCATATTTCCAAACACACAGGTGACACAGCCATCAAGAAGACATTGATTTACACACAGCAAAATGGCTTTCTGATATAAAATTCCAATATAGTTTTTCATTGTTTTTAGATAATACAAAGTTCCTATCAAAGATAAAAAACAAGCGAATTTCGCAGGAAGCATTCATACATGCAAACCCACACACACACCTTTGTGCACTCTCGGACATCCACACATGCAACCACGACACTGCAACTCTACTGAACATCTCCCCCCCCCCCCCCCCCCCCCCCCCCCTGGTGAATTACCACTTGGCCTAACCCCATATGAGTTGAATGCCCGTTTGGATTTATCCCACATAGTCTAATCCCATTTCGTCTACTAGTTCATCTATTAACCATTTGGTCGAAATGCCTCTTGTCTATTTCCCATTACGTCTAATATGCACTTGGTCTATCAACTCCAGTTTTAGTCCATCTGATTAGACGAACTGGTAATAGACCAAATTGTGATAAGATGTAATGGGTATAACGTGGCAATTAGGTCATCGGACGAAAGGAAAATTAGCCCAGGTGATGATTGGACCTAACAACAATTTATAGACCAAATGGGCTTAACTGTAGTGGTGTTAGACAATCTGGGAATTAGACCAACTGGCTATAACTACCCTACCCCCCAATCACACACACAGACATGCCATATCTAGAAATGCCTATTATTATTATTAAAGACAAAGTTGAGTTCTGGTCATGTGATTGCAATGTGAAAGAAACGGTGTGGAATCTATCAGAAAAGGTTGATCATCTAGTATATAAGTATTCGTGTGTATTGCAAGGTTCTGGAATCATCAAAATGATAAGAAATTTGGCCAAATCTTGGCAAAGTTACAAGCACTGTACACAGAATGATGTATATGGGACTACACGAGCACATGGCGAAAAAAACCTACCCCCCCGATTTTTACGTATTTTATGTCATATTTAGAATATGAAGGCATTTTAAGAGCCATGCTTTTCATGGAACATGTTTAATCTGATGTTCTTCCACCCTTGCATAATAACAATGATAACGCTCACAAATTATTTTTTACCTCTTCCCAGAACTCAACCTTCTCTTTAAACTTCAAACAGTAAAGAAATGTTGTGATGCAAATCTCATTGAGTTCATGCATTATATGGACAGGCTCTCTCATGCAACTGGTAAAATTATTTTTAATTATTGGTCATACAAAGCATGGTTCCACTAGTTCAAGCTCGAACTGTTTCAGGTTCAGACTTTAACAGGTATTTCAATAGGATCAATACTGTAGCCCAACTTATGAAGGATAATTTGATGTCTTGTTCTTGAGAATTCTAACTCAGAAATCAGGGTAAATGGGCTGGTTTTTGACTACTCTACACAAATTTCAAAGGGCACACAATTTGATTTGTTTTTCTTCAAAGGAGTGTTGATATATTTCATTTTAGTACTGTACATGATCTCAGGCAGAAAGGATCAATGATGAAACAAGAACAACTGAACATTGACCAAAACTAGATGGAACTTCGACTGCGCGCAGTCGAAAATGATGCCTCCGTCATAGAGCATTTTACAAACCAAAACAGAAGAAATTTTTCGAATTCAAGTCAATTGTAATCCATTAACAGGTTCTCAAAATATTGTGATTACAAGCTATTTTTGCATACATAATGAGCCCATGACCTTTGACCTTATGAACCAAGAATCTACTCAGTTCATTGGCTCTGCAAGAAACATACATGACCTAAGTTGGCAGGAATCCATCAATCGGTTCTTGAGATAACGCGATCACGAGCTGTTTTTGCATACATAATGTGCCTTGTGGCCTTTGACCTTTGACCGTGTGACCCCTACATCTAATCAGTTCATCGGCTCTGCAAGTAACATACATGACCTAAGTTTGGCAGCAATCCATCAATCGGTTCTTCAGATAACGCGATCACGAGCTCGTTTTGCATACATAATGAGCCCTGTGACCTTTGACCTTTGACCTCGAAACCCCAAAATCTAATCAGTTCATCGGCTCTACAAGATACATACATGACCAAAGTTTGGCAGGAATCCATCAACCAGTTCTTCAGATAACGCGATCACGAGCTCGTTTTGCATACATAATGAGCCCTGTGACCTTTGACCTTTGACCTCGTGACCCCAAAATCTAATCAGTTCATCGGCTCTATAAGATACATACATGACCAAAGTTTGGCAGGAATCCATCAACCAGTTCTTCAGATAACGCGATCACGAGCTCGTTTTGCATACATAATGAGCCCTGTGACCTTTGACCTTTGACCTCGAAACCCCAAATCTAATCAGTTCATCGGCTCTACAAGATACATACATGACCAAAGTTTGGCAGGAATCCATCAACCAGTTCTTCAGATAACGCGATCACGAGAACGGGACGTACGTACGTACAGACGTACGTACGTACGGACGTACGGACGGACGGACAACCCGAAAACATAATGCCTCCGGCTACTTCGTAACGGAGGCATAAAAAATCAGTCTCATTCGATCTACATGTAGCATTCAGTTCTACAGAAATATGCTGTAGACGTAGTTGAGGTCATGCGCACTGTTCCAAAACAAAAACATCAGGTGTTTTTGTTTGATGCTGATGGAAATGCCTGACGAATCTTGACGACAGCACAAGAAGGGAGAGGAACTCCTACATGACGACCAAGGTATTCCCAGCACCATCTTGCCAGCTGGCGGTGAGCCACAAGTCGGTATCTCCTGTGCAAAGAGAAAGGAAAGAAAAAGGATAGACAGCTCAAGAAAACTATAAAAACACCATAAGGACATTAGAATTATGATACTTCCTAATAACTAAAGGAAAATGCATGACATACCAGCAAAGGAGTTGGTACGGACTCTCGGAGTAAGCAGCTAATCTGTTTTCATTCTTTCCTCTTTCCACAATGAATGGTACTTGGAGTGCAGAAAGTTTGTATTGAAAAAACAAAATATAAAACGGATGTCTACAGCCTACAGGAGTTCAGTTTGTGAGTTTTATCCCCACATATTATAAGATTCAAATAAAATTCAGGGTTTTTGCTTTTGATATTCAAGTTAACATCACCACATGTAGGTAGTACATGTATACATTTCCATAGCTAAAGCTAAACTTACTCATCGTTTGCAGACATCTCGATGTCATACTGCTGCCTGTACTGGTAATATGCCACGTCTAGAACATGCTTGTCCAAGCACACCGTCTTGAACCCGGGGTGTTCTGTTATGCATTTGAGGTTGTCGTTCTCCTTAAATTTATCCATTTTTTTGATGACTTTCTCAACTTCCTTGCAGCACACGGACTCCTTCGCCGTCGGCATTGCTTCACATCCTCCGCTGCAAGAACACCTGAATTAAAATTAAAAAATGAACCAAAATGTCACTATGCTAATAAATCATGGCATAGACAAATCAATGTTTTTCTTTTATAATTCTTAAAGAAATATTATTCAAAAGTTACAAACAACTGTGCAAAGTCTTTGAATAATAACAAATTATTGCATTTAATATTGGTCATCATCAACTGCCTCCCTGACTCGATCCTCCAACTCTTTCAAATCCACTGAATGTTCATTCAGATTCAGAACTGAAGTGATCTAGTCTACATCATGTAATAAATAAATGGATGGATTGGAAGGGGGAGTAATTGGGGCTGGTAATAAATGGTGAAGGTGGGGGTTGAGTAACTAAAAGTAGGTGAGCGAGGGACAACGCTACGCATTTTACTTAATTATAGTAATAATTAGTACCGTAATATTAGGCCTAGACGCCCCCCCCCCCCCCCCCCCCCCCAATTACACCCGTAGCTTTCTGAGCTACTTCTACCTGACTTGACAATCCTGCCTGCTATGACAAACTGCAGTACCCTGGTAGCTGCTGATCTCCGATAGAGCGGAGGAAGAAGAAGAAGAAGAAGAAGCTGTATCCAAAAAGGCAGCAGTGCATGTCACTGGACGAGGCCACGTCTTACCGGGTGTCCGCCGCGCCCCGCCCCGATCGCTAGCACTCATACTCGAGAAAGCTGCTCCCTACTTCTTGCTACGAGCAAAAAAGACACTTTAGATAAAATTTAAGAAAATTCCAACACTTGCAATCATTTTCAAACTTACCAGTTGTTGTTTTCCCAATCTTTTGTCCAGGTCTGCTTTAGCTCCCTCCTCCAGAACAGGCGTTTCAGGGGCTAGCGGCTCATATTGATATGGCTGAATAGTGCCTGCAGCTGCGGCAGCAGCTATCTCTCTGAGATCTGCATCATCCGACTCTTCGTCTTCGGAACCTGACCATATTTCACTGTCAGACTCTGAACTATCATCCCTTGGATACCTATAAACTAAAGCCATGTCGGTGCCGATTACAATTATAAATCTCAGCAATTTAGCAGGAAAACTTATGAGTTAAATTACGCTGCGACACATGGACCTACTCTATATGGTTATAAATGTCACACGAACTTTTTATGCGAGCGTCGAGCGCGAAAGCAGATCTTTGTTGTTGTTTTCCATTTCCCCTCTGACGTCACTTCTGACTTTTATAGTTCATCCCGAGTTCATCCCCATAAACTAAATTTAGATGCCAAAATGCGAGTTTTTTGTTTAATTTTCATATTATAAATGTATGTTAAAAACTCTCTTAAACAAAACATGTATAGTCTAGACCCTATACATTTGTATTTTTTTTTTGCAACACTGGTTTAAAGGGCCCATAGACCCTATATCAAAAAAGCTTGAAAATTGATTCTACCCCAAAATAAACAGACAAAAATCTGTCTATTGGGGCCGAGAGTGATACAAATTTTTTAAAGTCAAGTACTAGAAATGATACAAAGATGTGAGCACAGGGTTGAGTTTGTTAATCCCTTTTTTTTCTTCTCTCCATTAATTTTTTTTTTTATTTTATAGATCTATAAAAATACTTGTTATAATAGTTCAATGAAAAATATATACAAATATCTGTTATACTTGTTTGTATGCTTTGTATTAAAGTTATTGTATAATATTATTAGACATGATTCGCTAAGTATGTAAAACTTATGTAAAAATGTATAACCTTTTTTTATTATTTGAACACAGAAATAAAATCAATCAAGCAAACAAACAAACAACATATTATGCAACGTATATTGCTGTCAATTCATGGTTAGAGGCTGAAGATCATCTTGCGTTTTTTCTCCCTTTTTTTTTTCTCTCTCTCTCTCTCTCTTTCTCTCTCTCTCTCGCATTGATCGATTCTGAACCCCAGATGTGAAGGTGCAGGTACCAAGTTTCGGTGAAGTAACGCTCGACATCAGCTATGGCGGGGCCTTCTATGCATTGGTCTCTGCTGATCAGCTTGGGCTAGAGCTCGGTAAATCCTCGGTACGGAGCATCCAGGAGGCTGCAACGGCCGTTTCCAAGGCAACCAGAGAAGCGGTGGTCCTCGAGCATCCGGACAGTCCAGATCTTGCCTTCCTCTATGGGACTATCGTTACAGATGGGGCAGATGGATGGAGCGAGGAGCCCACGACCAACGTCTGTGTCTTTGCAGATGCTCAGGTAATTGGAATTAAGATTAGCCCTTTTAATCGCAAAACATATAATGCATCAAAGTTGCCCTCTTGACAATTGCAGTGTTTTCAATTTCCTACACTATCCAAAATTCCTAACGGGAGCAAAGTCACTGAAGTAAATGTTGTATCAACTCACAGTTATTATGTGAAAAAGATTCTTTTGTTAGTTCCTTTGTAATTTACAAAATATAGTATGAATATCCCTAGAATCTGCAATTATTGCCAATGTAAATAGATTTTACAATGTATTCCATACAGTGGCGGATCCAGGGCACGTGCCCCCTTTTTACCACCCCCCCCCCCCCAGCCAAAAAAAAATATGTTAAAATCAGCCCTAAATTCGCCCAAAATGTATTGAAAAACAGAGGCGTGCCCCCCCAGCAACAAATTCCTGGATCCGCCCCTGCCATACCATGGTACCACCTACACAATTTTTCTTTTTCTTATCACTAGATTTAGAATAAATTTTCTTTTTCTCATCACTAGATTTACAATAAAGTTTGAAGTGTTCAACAAATATTTTAAATGTGATATTTCCACACAGGTTGCTTTCAACAAAGCAGACTCTGGGTTTGTGTACTTGACATTTTTAATAGATCATGTTTTTGCTTTCTATAGCTTATTTTTCAAGACCCCTTTACTTTTCATACCAGATTGACAGAAGCCCCACCGGGTCAGGGGTCACTGCCCGCATCGCTCTTCAAGTTCACAAAGGACTGATAGACTTGAACCAGACTAGAACCTTCAGGGCTGGGGTCACGGGGTCAAAGTTCACAGGGAAAGCAGCGGAAAGGACCAAGGTTGGTGACTTTGAGGCTGTTGTGGTCGAGGTGTCTGGGAAGGGCCACTTCCTAGGACAGAGTACTTTCATTTGTGAAGACGATGACCTGTTGGGAAAGGGATTTCTGGTACACTGAGGGGTCATAGGTCAAAGTTCACTGAGTGCAAAGAACCATTTTCATGCTCCTTCGTTTAGTATTAATTTGTTGAATTTTCCAAATCATTTTCATTCATGATGTTGCATCGTTTTTTGTTTTTTGTTTTTTTTAATCTTTGTTCTGTATAATTATACAATATTAATATCAATATGCTGCGCTCATTAAGGTTGATATTCATTAGGCCCTATGTATATCTTATTCTGAAGTATGATATGATATTCATTTGTACATGTATTTAAATATGTTATACAGAGATTGATTTTAAATAAAATGGCCTGTCGGAGGGTCAAAAAAATTGAAGAAAAATAAAAAAAAATCATACTGCTTTGCCGTTGAGGTAGCTGGAAAGGGCCACTTGAATCTAGAGAACATAATACTGATTTGTGAAGATGGTGACAAGTTGAGAAAGTAACATCTGGTAAACTAAGTAATCTCTAGGCCAGCCATTATGGAAGAATGACTTTATGTCATGGGGTCAGAGTTCATAGGTGAGAGGAAAGGACAATGAATAATAATTGTTACCGGTATACTGTATTACTAATGGCGTCAGTACTATAGTTTTGGGTGATCTTATTGATCATGATGACCAGCTTGATTTCCCTGTTTGGCTAAGTATTCAGTTGTTGCAATTACACTTTCATTTGGTTGGCAGCTATCATTTTATTTGTAGTGTAAATGTTGTAAGCTCTTGTGAGAATGTCTTTTTTGTATCTACTAGTAACATGTACTAGAATTCAAACCTGCTTTGGAACATGACAAAAATGTACACAACAATGTAAGATAAGTTGTTGAATTTCATTCAAAAAATTATTATTTTATTACTGTTGAGAATCACTTTATCAATGTACCCATTTTCATAAAATATAATTAGAGTTTGCATGATAAATAAGATTAAAAATAAACAATGTATACAAACACTAATTACACAAGTTACAAACTAAAATGATCATGATTATGATTGAAGTAAATCTCATGGCAAGATATTATTCAAAATTATATTGATGTATCGTAATGTAACAATTTTGTATGAATTATGAATGTGAACAAGATATTTTGATGAAAATAAAGGCTTTCTTGATCGACAATAATCTCTTTACACAAGTTCTATCCTTCTGTGTTTGTTTTACAAAATCATAATTTAAGATCACATTTTAGTTTGAAACATTACTTTAATGAGCACAAATCCAGTATTCATCTCCATGGGTTTTACAATTTGGGTACAAATGACCTTTATCTGCCCATGCGCATATTATACCTTCTAAGTGGCTTATTACATTTATTAAACATTGTGTAGGTGCTCCCATAAACAAAGTAACTTGTTCAGCACTTAACTCATAAATTTAGTCTTTGTTAAAGCTTTGTTTGGCTTTAACTAAAATGCCTAAGAATTTCAAGGAAATAGTCTCTTGAAATTACAATTTGTAAAAAACTATTAAAAAACTGTTTTTCTAATTTATGTGTTATGAAACAAATGTTACACAATGTTGAAAATTCACAGTTAAACCAATCTCATTAGTTTGACACTTTAAATCAATGTTCTTTCAATCAATTTCCAAGTTGTTAGTATATTACCCATTACTGGGGTAATAGATCCTGAAGGAAGGGGGGGGGGAGGAGGAGGGAGTAGTCTCCTGGCAGTAGCTGTCGTAAGGTTGGTTGTCCTGACTATTGTCATCTTAGAATCATTATTACAGGTGTGGACATAATTTGATATCGCCTTTCTCGGCTTATGCACTTCCATGTGTACAGTCAAGAGTCTTTTACTGCCACCAGTACAAAATTCCTTGGAGAAATATCAGCATCGAATACCGGAACCAGTTTGCTCTCGATGCCTATTGATAAACAAATAGAGGGATGAAAATAGAGAAAAATCAGGGTACATGCTGTTTTTTCGGGGGGGGGGGGGGGGGGGAGGGATAAGGGGAGGGTAATTGAACATGTCCATGTATCTCATGATATAGATAGGCAGTGGTTACTATTAACGAAATTATGTAAAGTACAATATGCTACACATAGGACCTTTTTGTTGTGTGCAGTTAACATTCATTTACTACGTTTAAAAAATGTGGCAGGTTCTTTTGTGGCAGTATACTGTGTCTTATTTGAATTGACCTTTTAATACTGTGTTATCAATTTTACAAACATGTATCCCACATAATATAGAAAATTAAAATGTGGTATTTTCCAGTGTTCATCCTGAGATAAATAGCACTAATGGAATCAAACATTACAATTCATGAACTCATTTTGAATTTCTTTTGGAAAAAAAATAGGACAAGGTTTACTTTATAGTCACAAAGTATGAATTGTATATTACAAAGGTTGGAGAGGTTCACATAAACCACCTACAACACTCAAAAGAGTTAAATGGATTAGAAAAGATGAGCTAGACTTACTATTTACATTTATAGTTCCATTATGGGGTTGGTCATTATGATGATGGCAATGTTGGTGATAATGAAAAAGATGATGGTGATGATGAATTAGATAATGAGGATTGTGGTGATGATGAGGATGGTGGTAAAGATGACGATGCTGATAATTAAGATGGTAATGTTGATTAAGATGAAGAGTTTTGGTATGATAAAATTGATGATGATTAAGATGATGATTAAGATGATGGTGATGGTGATGGTGATTAAGATGGGAGTTTTGGGATTATAAAATTGATGATGATTAAGATGATGACCAGTGATGATGATTAAGATGATGGCGATTTAAGATGATGATGATGATGATTAGGATGATGAAGATAATGATGATGATTAGGATGATGGTGATTATGATGGTGATGGTGATGCTGCTACTGCTGATGATGATTATGATGATTTTGTGCCACATAAAATATTTGCACAATGACATATTTAAGGTCAAGTGTGAAAGGGGGGCGTTGTAACACTGACCTTGCTCATAGAGGTACAAGACCCTGTCCAGCAGGAGTAAACTCTCTACGATGGGGCCCATCATGATTCGAAGCACATGGTAAGTGATGACATTGGTCCATTCGGGACGATACCTCTCTTCCAGGTCTGCGAGATGACGATCTTCGTACGGAATCCCAAGGGCTTCAAGCGCAGAAGCAGCGTACCTGTAATAGTGGTACACGCAAAATATTGAGACAATAAGCATGCTCTAAACTATAATGCTGTAAAATCAAGATCTTTTGCATGCATGCATGACAATTTTACAATTGGTTTTGATAAATGAGAGTTTCATGCTGATTTGATTTTGATTTGATTTGTTTTATTGTCTACATAAATGGAGAAAAAAAAATTACACAAAATATTTAAATCGCAGCATCAGTTTCATGCAAGCTAAGACATTTCTTAACCAAATAATTCCAACCTTTCAACATTGCCAACTCTTTCATGTCACAAGAGTATCTGGTTTTACATGATGATAATCAGAATTTTATATCAAGTTCACATTGATAAGATAATTGCACTTTAGAATGATCTACAAATTCAAACCAAAATAATGAGTTCTTCCTCACAAGGAAAGGGCAAAGAGCAAGATAAAAATGAAGATGTAGAGCACTACATGACAGAGTCATAGCTAAGCATGGGCCCAGCCACTGATGATGGCAGTGGCATAAAACATTTATAAAGAAGGAAGGGGGAAGGGGGGGGACAAAATTTCACTAACGGGAGTCAATGTGAAGGAGACCATTGATTACTGAGTGTGTAGCAGGGGTCCTTTCTGCTTTTTACCATTATTTTCCCCTCTCCCTAGAGTCCTTTTCTTTCTCTCACTTTTTCCCTTTCATTTTCAACTATTCGATCGGGGGGGGGGGGGGGGGGTTGCTCCCCTTTGAATACCCCTCTGTTTTTATGAACGCTTACTCTTGGAACGTCTTGAGGTGTGGTTTTCTGACGCTGGCCACCGCCTTCTTGATTCTACAGATGCCGGAATGACACTGGGTCATCTCCCGGTCAAATCCCTGAATGACGACCTCTAGAGTTGCACGGTAACCATGGAGATTGAGGTAGGGATTTCTGTCTGATGCTGAGAAATACATAATGATCGTTAATGAAATTGGTGAAAATATCAGTGACCTGTTCACCTCACATATTTGATGTCACAGACCTTGCAGACCTCTAGAATACTGAAATTGGTAGCCTTTTAAAGCACAGAAATGCCATCCCTAACTACCTAGTTCCTGGATAGATGAAAGCATTGTTTAAAAGGGAAATTCAATTTTTGTAATGAGTTCATTTGTATACAAAGAAAGATAATAGAATTAGAAAATCTGAAAATTGGAAATAAATTTGACTAATAATACAGAAGATCATTAAACCTATGCAAATCTCAAATTAGCAATTTCTAAGCTGTCGATAGGCATACGGCCATTAGCCACTGTAATGTGGAATGGTCGGTGCAGCGCTCTTCGCTAGAGGAGTGTGTGTGTGTGTTATGGACAAAGGTGTGAGATGAAGTTCATTTTCAAATGTATTCCTTTATAATTTACATTCTTATTAAGGTTTCCATTATTTGATAAGGGATATACCATGCACTTTTGCATTACCCTTTATGGGTCTTTGGTGGCTGGCATAGTGCTGTGGCAGTCCCCTCACAGAATCCATAATCTCAACCGGAGATCAGGGCCTGTTTCATAAAGTAACAATAACTGTTATACGCTACTGAAATAGTGGCATCTGATTGGCTGAGGGCAGATATGTCACAGAAATTTAGCATTTGTTATTGATAACAATTTTTTTGAAACGGGGGCCCTGGTTGAGTAGCATCTTCATTTCATATCTTGTTTGCAATTGGTTTTAATCTGATCTTACCTAATTTGAACCATATTGAGTATGATAATTTGACAAAATAAAATTAGATTGTTTACCCCTTACTGTAATGGGGGGGGGGCCCTGGGAGCCCCCCCCCCCCTCGACATTTTCAGAGTTTGCGCCGCAACCGCTTGGAATTTTGAATTGTCGTTTCATGACTTCTTTCCCTCAAGTCTTACGCACATTTTGATACCATTTTCATCAAAATCAGATATATGTGTAAGGTGTTACATAACAATTAGTATGCGCAAGTCATCAAAAAGTGCTATAATTGCATATATTCATGTACAAGCGAATGTGCATACAGATTTAGATGTATTTCTTCCTAAGTGGGAGATATGAATTGATATCAAATTGCTTTATGTTTCTCAAAGTAACTTGATGTATTCCAGAACAAAAGAATACATTAGAAATAAAACAATAGATATAATAAGAAATAAAAAACAATAAAATACATAAGAAAATAAAATGATGAATTTTGAATGCGTAATTTATGCAAATTAACCTATGCATTTTCAAATATCATAAAAATAATGAAACCTCATGAATTTGAGATGAAGGAATCATTTATTCAATACATTTTCAAGATTCTTCACAATTCTACAGACAATATGTAGAGTTTTCTGTAAAATGCATAAAATTAGCATTTGCATAATTAATTAGGCTATAACGACAAACATTTGCATATTAGGAAAAAACTAATTATACCATCTTGTTCCTTAATACGTAAATATCTACATGCAAATTTGCGTGTTCATCAGACATTTGACGGCCGAGATCATAGGGGGGGGGGGGGGGGGGGGGGGGGCCCCAGTCAGTGAGGTGCTCAAAATAACCCAGTACAGTAAGGGTTTAAATGTTTTCTACAAAATGACCCACTTCAAGGAGATAAAGTTTTCAATGTTTGTTTTTTAAAACCAGTATTCTTTGGGAGTTTAATTCCTTTTGAAAAAAGTAAAAAAACTAGATGGAATTCGACTGCGCGCAGTCGAAAATGATGCCTCCGTCATAGAGCATTTTACAAACCAAAACAGAAGACATTTTTCGAATTCAAGTTCAATTGTAATCCATTAACAGGTTCTCAGAATATCGTGATTACAAGCAATTTCTCATATACATATATGACCCTTTGATCTTTGACCTCATGACCCTAAAATCTACTCAGTTCATTGGCTCTGCAAGATGTCCTGAGTTAAATAGTAATCCATCTGTCAGTTCTAATGAGAATGTGTTCACAAGCTATTTTTGCATACATAATGAGCCCATGACCTTTGACCTTTGATCTTATGAACCAAAAATCTACTCAGTTCATTGGCTCTGCAAGTAACATACATGACCTAATTTTGGCAGGAATCCATCAATCGGTTCTTGAGAACGCGATCACGAGCTGTTTTTGCATACATAATGTGCGTTGTGGCCTTGACCTTTGACCTCATGACCCCAAAATCTAATCAGTTCATCTGCTCTGCAAGTAACATACATGACCTAAGTTTAGCAGCAATCCATCAATCGTTCTTGAGATAACGCAATCACGAGCTGTTTTTGCATACATAATGTGCGCTGTAGCCTTTGACCTTTGACCTCGTGACCCCAAAATCTAATCACTTCATCGGTTCTGCAAGTAACATACATGACCTAAGTTTGGCAGCAATCCATTACTCGGTTCTTGAGATAACGCGATCACGAGCTGTTTTTGCATACATAATGAGCCCTGTGACCTTTGACCTTTAACCTCATGACCCCAAAATCTAATCAGTTCTTTGACTCTGCAAGATACATACATGACCAAAGTTTGGAAGGAATCCATCAATCGGTTCTTCAGATAACGCGATCACGAGCTGTTTTTGCATACATAATGAGCCCTGTGACCTTTGACCTTTGACATCGTAACCCCAAAATCTAATCAGTTCATCGGCTCTGCAAGATACATACATGACCAAAGTTTGGCAGGAATCCATCAATCGGTTCTTCAGATAACGCGATCACGAGAACGGGACGTACGTACGTACAGACGTACGTACGTACAGACGTACGTACAGACGGACGGACGGACAACCCGAAAACATAATGCCTCCGGCTACTTCGTAACGGAGGCATAAAAATTACCTTTTAATTTCTTGCGGTAGCTTTCCAGGAAATGGCATCCTAGGTCCATGGCTGTAAACTCAATAACCGCGCCACCAAGACTCTGCACAAACTCACTCATGGGATAACCCTTCAAGTTCAACGTCCTATTGTCATCCATTTGACAACTGTCAGAATTTAAGTTTGTTGTTTCACTTGAACTTTCCAATATATCATGGCTGTCATCTGAAGTGGAAGAATCTTGCGAGGAAGGAGAATGGCTTCTCTTCCTGGAGATGCCATTTTGGACAGTTTCCTGGGCCTCTGCGGAAGGCAACGGAGCTGCCTCGCCGGGAAGAGCGCATTTCATTTTCATGTAGCAGCAAGCGACCGAGGTTAGAGCCCTTGCCTGGGCACACTTGGAGAAGACACGCAGCATTGTAGGGGCTAGGTCTCCGCACGTGTGAAGTCCAGCTATCACAAACGTATCAGAGCTTCTATCACCTGACTTCCGTGAATCGAGCTTCGATGCTTCATAGGTATCAGTTTCGCGGAAAGCATTACTGGACTCCTTTCTGGCATGATAATCTGAATGTTGAGGTTCGTGTAAGAGATGATTAGGACTGATGGTAGATGTTTCATTAGACTTTACAGGTAAAATATCCTCTGAGTTTTGTCCCTCTGCAGGATGAGCTGCCCCCACCCTGCTGTGATTCTTGAACTGGTCCAGGTTATCACTGTTAGCCGATTGATTGTTTATGACATTCAGGAACTCTTTCACTGTAATCTGCGGGTGAACAGTACATTCCACATGCTGGGGCGGAGTGTGGGGAATACCATCGATGGGTTGATTGGATTGCTTTTCTATCTGTAAAGAGAACAGGGGAAGATAAGAAGATAATTCAATTATAACATTAGTCTGAATCTTTGCAATCACTGTTCGTTCAAAAAAAAGAAATAATAATCATCATAATATTGGATATTTTTGAAGCGCACATATCCACCACACGAGGTGCTCAAGGTGCTCCAATATTCCCTCTACTCTGCTAGGCAACTTTATTGGTGCTCACAGCATTTAAGGTATTCCTTCCTTCCGGTACCCATTTAACACCTGGGTGGAGAGAAGCAAATGTAGATTAGTGCTTGCCAAAGGACATTAGTGTCACAGCGGGACTCCAACCTCAAACCATGTGATCCACAGTCCCAAGGACGTATCCACTCGACAACAACACCTCTACATGGGTAATATTTATCCTTTCAAGACTTCAACCTTATTCTTACCCATAAAATGTCATCAACCAACATTAAAGATAAAGACCAGTTCTGGTCATGTGATTGCATTGTGAAAGAAACATTGTAGAATTGATCAGAAAAGGTTGATCATCTAACATATAAGTATTGGTGTGTACTGCAAGGTTCGTGAATCATCAAAATGACAAGAAATTTGGCCCAGTCTTCGTAAAGTTACAAGCACTGTACACAGTAAGATGTATATGGGACTATGCACACGTGTGTGACACATGCGTTTATCTCTCACACACCAATAGATAAACTAATTTACCAAATATATCAATTAGTAGGCGCTTTTCCGGCAAAGTTTTTATCATCATGTATTAGTCGAAACATATTCTTTCACATGATTGGTAATAACAGCTTCCATTTCATTTTTTGAAATTGGGGCGTTTACCTTTAAAATATATCTTTCTTCTTTTTCAAATTCAAAACAACTACTTTCACAGGCAAAATAGCATTGCTACCATGTACTAAATTTTGCACAAAAAAAAAATCTGTAAGCTCTTGCCATTGTTTCACAAAACTGTCATAAGAACAAGATGGCCGACATCTCATTGAAATATGTGTTAATTGTAGTACATACATTTCAATAGAATGTTGCCGAACTTTACAGTTTTGTGAAATGATCTGATCTCTGGAATGTACAAAAGGCCATTTTAATAACCACCTAGGGTATCAATTTAGAATTTTTTCATGCTGGTAAATATTCAAGGTAGTGATTGAGGTAGCAAAAAAACACCTCCACCTCTTCAACCCCCCCCCCCCCCCCCCCCCCACTTCCAAAAGAAAAAGTCTGAGTACCCTGATGACTCACCCTCTTTCGAATAATGGTCTTTATTTTCCTGCAACACAGAACGAGATAGAAAAATTACCATGAAGCAGCAAAGGAAAAATAAACAAGAGCGGTGAGCGGTTTAGCTCTAGAAAACTCAAAATGGCCTCTGGTACATGTAATAAAAAGATATTACCGGTACACAACATCACTGTTAGAAATTTAACATACTTTTACATAACAAGTTCTAAAAAGAGCTCCCTTGAGCAGTAAAATATATTTTACACTACCATAAAATGAATGTGAAGAATCAAATACCCTTTCCATTTGTTACCCCCCCCCCCTCCAAAAAAAAACAACAACAGCAACAACAACAAACAAACAAACAAATAATAATAATAAATAAATAAAAAGTGACTGAGCAAAACAAACAAAGATGCATGTATATATGATCAGTGACAACAGCGGGGTGATTAAAAATTGTCACTAAACCATGTTATGAAGTATTCAGGAGAGTGGAAAACTTTCATATCAAAACTTAATGGCGCATTGATATGTGCATTGAAGGCCTTCCTTGAGCCATTTCAAGAAAAGAATTATGACGCAAGTGTAGTATGCTTCACATATCTGTATCTTATAACACAGAGCTAAGTTTATATGTATAGGACCTTCGCAAGTCTGTTGCATGGAGTTACCATTCACTCACCTGTTATAACATTTTCAAAACCATAGTGGTTTACCACTACATATCTTCGTAACTTGTGTTTACACAAGTCGCTTATGGCATTATCTTTACAAATATGTATTAGACTGGTTATCATAACTTCAAAGAAGACCTTGCTCACTTGTCTACCTTGGCTGCGCCGGTCAAGTGGCATCCGACCGCCTCGATGCTGGTGACCTTGAGACCGTACCCAAAGGACAGTAGCCTGGACAGATGACCATGACCTGAACCAACGTCCACTACCCTCTCCGTACCTGCAAGACTAGATGCCGAGTTGATCACCTGAATGATTGGATGAGCGGAAAATTCAGATTTTATGCAATGGCAATGACTTTTTTCTCTTTGTCAGTAGAAGGGAAAATCGGTCCCCTGCATATCAAAGTTGAAGGGCCTTTGCACTCACTACAATAATATAACACTCTCATTCACAGATTGAACACTTAGCCCTAGATAATTCTTGATTGAAGGTAAGGCCTAAAAATAAGATGTTGTGTTGCCCTTTAGGTGCCAGCACCTGGGTGACTGGTCATTTGGTCAATTCTTTTTTTCTTTTATTCCCTGTTTTTCTCTCCTTTTTTCCCTCCTTGGGCTGATATCTTTCAGTTTTGAATTTTTAAATACATATTTTTGTTATTCATTAAACATTTTTTAATCTTAAAGTTGAGTTCTGTTCATTCAATAAGATTGTGAAAGAAAAAGTCATGAAGCAATTTGAAAAGGTTGGTATTGTAGTAGAGAGGTATTGGTGTGTACAGTGAGGCTTCAGAACCATCAAATTGATAGACACACAGAAATCAATATATGAGACTGAACACACATGTGGTCTTACTGTTGGGTCCAAATACTTCATATATTTCTTGTCGAATATGGAGGCATTTTGAAGAGCAATTTTGTTCTTTAGAGGACATTAGTTTTATGAGTTTATTATGAGTTTCTCATGAGAAAGCTCAAAATTGTAAAACCCATCGAGATGAATCCATGCTCATGAACTAATTTTTCACCTCAATCAGAACTCAACCTCCTATTTCAACCCAAAGGTAATGGAGGCCATTGCGCAAATGAAATAAGCCACTTCATCAGAGATACTATCTATGCTTGGAAAGATAAAGTTCATTTGTACAAAACTGTAAAACCAACAAGACGATTGATGGATATGTGTTCATAAGATTTATGTAATCATTATTCATTTATGCACCTGCAGTACATTCTATGATGATAGTGATACACAGGTAGAAGTAAACTTTTCAAGAGGGCACACAAAAAGTATGTCATTAAGCACCTCCATTACCTTGGCAGTGATTTTTCTAAAATGCACAAAGTGGGACTTCTCCATGTGTAAAAGATCTCTGCATACATTGTATGTGGGGGTCATTTGTACAAGTTAAGTGCTTTCTCCAAAGTGGCCAATTGTTGCCAAACAGTTAAAGCTTATCTGTACTAGTTTACAGGAGGGATTAGACCTCACTGCAAGGTCACTGGACAGGAGGTTATCTCATCAACTCAGCTCTCAATTAACATAAGAAAAAGAGGATCATGGGGGACCAATGGTCACCGATTAGGCAGTGTTTGTTATATAGAGGGTGCAAGTAGGTACAAGTAGTGCAGTGGGCCTTTAAGTGCAATCTGACCCAGGCCAGGGTGCTCTTACATCACAAGTGTGAATGGAGCAATACGTACCTCTGCCATACGTAGGATTTCATGCTTCTTTTTCTTTTTGACATGCAGCCTGCATAGTAGATTGATGGGTTTCAAAGCCGGGTCCATTTTGATGCTGATGGAGTCCCCTACGGTTGGGGTGGGGTCTAGGGCCAGGGCCCGTGTGGCAGCTCGGTAGGCCAAGAGGGACAGAGGCCAGACAGTCTGCTGCTGTTGCCTGCAATTATAATTATGAACAAGGAGAAATTCATAAAAAGGAAACAATTTTCTTTCTATCATATTCTTTTGTTCAAACTATGGTTGTATTATATACGCAGTAATACCTTTGTGAGTCACAATATTACGTTGTGCGATCATAAAATAACACTGCAAATTACTTTACTTCATTTTTTTTTTGGAAGTAATACTGAAATGAATTTTGAAAAAACATAGTTGGTTTTGCAAAACTACTACATGGTGAACCAATCTTCTGTTAGAATATAGTAAGTTGATCATAAAACAAATGAATTGGAAAAGTTTTTACTCCATATAAATTACAGTGTAGAGATGAATTCTGGAAACCATGACTGCCCTTTAGAATATCCCACCACAAAACTTGACCAGAAGTTTGTAGGCTAACCAACGCTTATCGAGTTAAATCTAAAGTCTTAAGTTTCTTAGGTAACACTAACCCTCATCCTAACCCTGAATCTTATCCTAACCCTAACCTTATCCCTAACTCTGACCCTAGGTGTTGGACATTCATGTACATAAACCATTGGTGGGGAAGTCTAAAGTTAAGCACTTAAAGGCTAAGTCCACTTCAAAACAACTTGCTTTCAATAGATGCAGAAAAACAGGAGAAACAGAGCAAACAAAGTTTGAGAAAAATCCGATCACTTGTAAGGAAGTTATGAATTATGAAAAACTATGGAACAATGAAAATCACTACACAAATTGTCACAGACTCAGGAGTGAGTTGCCAATTTATCTCGTGATTTTCAAAGTTGTTCATGTCATTAAAAATTCATAACTTTCTTATTAGTTATACCATTTTTCTCAATCTTTTTTGATTGGTTTGTCTGATTTGTCTGCTTCTATTTGGAGTGGACTTACCCTTCAAATAACTTACATCTCCTGATCTAGTAATAGATTAGCCAGGTTATCTGGTGGTAGTCCATCAAGTGCTGCTTGCCATGACTTTGGAAACATCTCCCATTGTTTCTTCACAAAGAACTCCTGTGTAATAATTAGAAAGTCTCAATTTTGTCATTTGAAACATCACCAAACAGAATTTTTTTTTTAGGTCACTTATTGCTATATATCCATATTTAAGTGCCTTATAAACGCATGCACTATAAATGAAAAATAAGGAACACCTATGTGTTCATAAAAGCACTTACCGGTAGTAGAATTAAAAAAACTCAAGCTTAATTCTCTCTTTCAATACACTCCTCTGCAAAATGGTTTTCAGGCAGTTTAGATAAATGCTAAATTTGATCACTTTCATTTCAAACTGAAAAAATATATTATCAATTAGTATCTACAAGTAGGCCTTATAATGCACACATGATATATGATTTATTATTAATAAAATGTATACAATATTATGTGTATAAACATCCATAGCAGTATCCTTATCATCATTACCAATGCAATATACATACATGTATTATACGATAATATCTAAAACAAACAGCATGATGCCAAATCAAGTTTCTGTAATTTCATAAGAGTGTTTACTATAAACTTTTGTAAAAGTTTGTAACATGACTTGAACAGTGCATTGCTGAATGTATTTAGCCTATCTGTACTAGTTTACAGGATGGATTAGATCTCCCTTCAAGGTCACTGACAGGTGGTTATCTCATCACATCAGCTCTCAATTAACATAAGAAAAAGGGGATCATGGGGGACCAACAGGCACCGATTAGGCATTTTTATATAGAGGGCACAAGTAGCTGCCTATAAGTAGTGCAGAGGGGCTTTAGATGAGCGTCCCCCCCCCCCCTCTCCCTGCCCCTTCTTGGCGATGCTGTTGCCAAAGGAATCTATGTTTGCTATTACATACCACAACATGAGAGTCAATGAGTTCTTGGTATTGTTCAGTGAGGGTGTGAAGCTGCTTTGCATACACTCTAAGCTGTAAAACTGTCTCTCGGGAACAGACCACCTTCGTCGGCATGGTAACGATCTGTGAAATAAAATCAACTACATTATGGATTATGGTTTGTTCACACATGGCGTAGGAAAACGCTGAAGTTTGATCTACTTTTTGTTTGTTTGTTTGTTTACACTAGAATGGAAAGTGGGATAAATAAAAAAAAAAGTAGCATGCAGCAAATGTCTACAGTGTACATGTAGTCACTTACCTGTGTGTTCCTTAGATGTAGAAGGGTATAGCGTATTATGCTTTCAGAACCTTATCATATATGAATAATAATAATGATAATAATAATAATAATGATTATTATTTATTTGGCAAAGACAAAATCAAAGAACAGTGTATACGAGACAATTATACTTTCCCTTAAGAAAGTTTTCAATGAATCATTCACCATAAATATAATTATTGCAAATATGCTTTTATACAACCACTGTATGTATGAAAAAAATCTACCCCATCATTAATAACTAAGAAAATGCAAATTTATGACATTTTCTGTACAGAGCAAATTAATTATATCAGGGTGGGCTTTCCTTTAAAGGTAAAGACCAGTTATGGTCATGCGATTGCATTGTGAAAGAAACGTTGTGGAATCGATCAGAAAAGGTTGATCATCTAGCATCTAGCATCTGCAAGGTTCTGGAATCATCAAAATGATAAGAAATTTGGCCCATTCTTCGTAAAGTTACAAGCACTATACACAGAAAGATGTATATGGGACTACCCTATATCTCTCACAGACCATGAGAGAAACAAATTTACCAATATATGAATTAGTAGGCGGTTTCCCGGCAAATTGTTTATCATCATGTATTAGTCAAAACATATTCTTTCACATGATTGGTAATGAGAGCTTCCATTTCATTTTTTGAAATTGGGGCGTTTCCAATACTGGTCTTTACCTTTAATAACTCCATCATGCGATCTCTGTTGCCCCTCTCACATGTTTCTCTCTGACCCAGCCTTCAATTATCTCCCTCTCGCTTGATGGCAATGCCTCTCTCTTTGTAACTTGTAAGTTTCTCTCCGATTCAGCATTTTAATGTCTCCCTCTTGCTTCTTAACCAGTCTTCACTCTAGGTAAGTTTCTCTCTAACCCGGCATTTTTTATTCTTAAAAGCAAAGGTAATTCATGTATTAGATTACGCTGATCCGCTCAAGTGGCTTCAAATTTAAGTGAGAGAGGACCTACTTAACTTAAGCGCAACTTAAGTTCAATGGCAAAGTCAATACGTGATATTACGTCACACCACAGAGATTTTGACACATCCTGCTTTAAACAGGTATGAGGTAACGCATTTTACACATAACTGACGCACACGCAGCATTGTACACATAAAATAGAAAAATCAATGAACATCTCAGAATAAATTTCCAGTTTGTACTTTAAATATGACGAAAATGAGAATTCTTCAAACTTAAAAAATAGTTATGTAAGACTTAAACTTAGACTAAGTGAAATACTTCAGTGAAATACCTAAGTGAGATACTTAAGTGAGATACTTAGATGAAGTGAAAAAATCATAAGAAATAGAGGGTTTGACTGAAATATCATAATTTTGGTATCGGAAAAACGAAAAATTGCAAGCACAAGCTTGCTCGTTGCTCAAAAATCTTATAGCATTGAGTGAATGGAAAACAGCGATAGCCGATAAGAAGGGCCCTTGTCGGCGCCAATTTAGTAAAATGAGGCTGCGATTTGCCGAGATCGGATGAATGATTTGCGCCTGCGCTAATTGTATTTAAAGGTGAAATTCAAAGAAAATCACAAATATGTCAACTAATGTATCACTAGAAGCTGGTAAGCTAACAGATCGTACAAGTTTTAGGTCAACTACATATCGGGTGATTTATAAAAATACAAATACAACCACCTCCATAGCAGCTGGGATATACAAGAGATTCGCCGGAAAAATAACGATGTTTTAATGACGTCCCTATATGGACTAATACTGCCCAAGCAGACGACATCCCATAAAGAATGAACATAATTGCAAAGCTATTATTTGTCAAATTATAATGAGTTTAGTGTATATAAATGTAATGGCATGTCAAACTATTCAAAATGGGACATGACCCGATTCGGATAACTAAAATCGTTTGCTTGTAAATACAGAGGAGAAACCAGACTTTCAAATTGAAAAGTGAAAGCCCCCCGGAATGATACTAAGGACAGCATTTGTCCCCTCTTGGAATGCCAAACATACCGCGGTGTGTGCAGCTGAATATACAATGGCATCTTATTTTGTTTACAAGTGACAGATTCATTTATTTTTGTATCGCTGCATTTGTCATCAAAATAAAACCATGCGCTGGTTTAGAGTGAGGCAATAGATTCTACATTTAGCCTGACAATAGTGAAGTACAAGAAAGAACTCAAGAGAAGATGAAAACACAGGCACTGAAAATGTGTGAGATGTCATGGGACATCGTCTGCTTGTGCAAATCATGTCCATACTGTGACCTCACACATCTCAGCAGCGTTCAGAGAGCTTTTCAGGTGCTATGTCAAGGCTGTATAGCGTTTTGTAATTTATAATAATCATTACTTCGAATGTTTCCAAGCAATGAATTTTGATAACCTTGTCGGATCAAAGTTTCAACTTTGCAATAATGAACATAAAATTAGGTATTAAATTCAATGAATATCTAGAATACTTTAAGCTAAAGTTCTAGAATCTAGATCTATGTCAGTATGTATGACAATGCGAAAAGTCCTTCGATCTTCATGCCATCCTGTTTACGAAGCTCACTAATAATATATTCTACTAGACCTAGTAAAGAACTGTAGGTCTAGATCTACTGGCACTGCACTGGAAAAAGAAGGACATGCTTGAATTTTTCAGTTACTTAGATCTAGAAGAAAACTATACCAGGGCTCAAATTAATTTTTTGTCCACGGGGGCTCTTCCCCCGAAAAAAGAGCCCCCGTGAGCCTTCTCACGGGGGCTCTTTTATTACTGACGGGGGCTCTTTTTTTATACAAATATCCATTGAATTGGTACCTATGATACTCCTCAATTATTTGCTATTTCATCATTATCATTTCAATCAGCATTTTCCCTCTTACAAATTTACAAGCTACATAGCTGTTACTGGCCTGTGTATATAATATATACGCATACAACACTGATCTTTATGATGTCTTTAACGTGACATATCTTCTTCTCCCCTTGCAAACGAAAAAGAAAACATGGTCATTAAAAGAGATTAAGCGACAAATAATGATTGTGATTCAAATTTATGCGAATATTTGTTTGAATAAGCACTGCTATTCACCCAAATCTTCTTTGTAAAAACAACTTTTACAAATCTCAGCCATGCTTACTGAGTTGAGACGTTCCATTCAATTTAAAATACCCATTACATAATACACTTCTCCTAATCTCAAAGTGATCTTACAACACAGTGGCAGAATTGCATGGCTGAGATTTGTAAAAGTTGTTTTTATAAAGAAGATTCTGGTGAAAAGCATTGCTTATTAAAAAAAATCCTTGCATCAATTTGAATCACAATGATTATTTGTCGCATGGTCCTTTTATTAAATAACCTTGTTTTCTGTTTTGTTTGCAGAGGGAGGAGAAGCTATGTCACGTTAAGAAATCATAAAGATCAGTTTTATTATGCGTATATACATATGATACCAGAACAAATGTTGATTATCAGAATGTCATTTTGGAATACCTCTATAAAAATACCACATTGTCTTTAGCCCATATCAGTATTAGTATGATCCAATAGCTATTATTCTTTATTTAATTCAGTATAATGCTTTTCCTCAAAAATAGTTTTGCTATTTTTTTAGGGTTGAGACGCTAAGAAATGGTTTCAAATGTACATTACACGAACCCTGAACCACTGCAAAATGATTGTGGTTCTCTCTCTCTCTCTCTCTTTATTTTAATCATGCATTATCACTGAAATCGCTGAATATGCACGAGGTTGAGAAGGGCTGTTTGTTCGAGTCGTGCATATTCAGCGATTTCGAGCGATCGGCGCTCGATAGCCTGAATATTCATATTTTCTTCGCCACTGTCACGCATGCGTACCTTCTCATCGCTATTTTGAATCAACGCTGCGACATGGAAGAATCGTTGGTGTAGTACCCCGAATTAACCTTTTTTTCCCATCGAAGACTTCTTCAAATTATACATTCAAGTGATTGGAGTTGAGCCCTGAGGGGTCGTGCACCCTATGATGTAAAAATTGTAAGTACTCCCTTTGCAGATTTAACGATAATATCACCCAATCGGCTGTTTTACTAGCCCCCAAGAGAAACCAAGGAAACCACCCGAAGCTCCGACGCCTGCGGCGCCGGTGTTGGAGCTTCCCGGAGTTAGGATAGGCCATACTTCAGTCTCTATAATCGGAGGTCTAGTGGAGCCAGACGTAGTCTCAGTGGAACAACCGACGATTAGAGAAACTGAAGCTTTCGGTCTAGTAATTAGTAGGCCTAAGCTAACTTTACTAGACCTAATCTATGCGAGTATCAGCCAAGCCCAAGCCCAAGGCAATTGAATATTCAACTTACACGAATAGCAACAGACGGGACTCTGTCTTTGTAACTGCAAGAGTGGATCTCGACAAAATACTCCTAACCATCAACTGCAACTGGATCTGGAGGCACTAATTACGAGTTCAAACTTCAAAGGCAAACTTATGTAAGTATATCTACTGCAATCGATCCCAAAATTACACACAGTTAATCTAATCGGAAGAAAACTGTAAATATCTGAATGAGAAAATACAGGATTCAACTTACTATCGAGATGAACTACGCAGACTCTAAGTACAGTCGTTTAAGTCGTTAAACTGATGCTGCTGCGAAAACAAGAACCCCTTCGTGAGACAAAGAATATAATAAACGAATGAATGTACTCTAACTTCACAGAAGTAATCAAAAAGAATCCTAGACAGCCCGACCACCGAACAGCCCGACCATGCACAACCCGGACCAAAACCCTGGACAACTCGACTAGGTCAAGTTGTCTAGGGTGGGGTGCTTCTAAAGGCAGACAGCTCGACCCACTTTTGGAAAGACTCCTTTTTGCGACAGCCACCTAAACCTAACCCTAACCCTATTTTATCAAGTTCTTGGTATACTTCTTGTTTCTTATACTACCTTTTTAAGGCCACTCCAAAAATAATTTCCTTTTAATAGATTCAGATTCAGATCAGATTCAGATTAGTTTTATTGGTCCATTTGTAAATTCAGTTGTTGGCATTACATAAAGCACATGAAAAATATACAATAGAAAATAATATACACAAAATAGTTAATACGCAGTGGCAAATGTGCAATGACATATTCATATGGAAACACGGATATAAATCGTTTGCAGAAATTATATGCAGAAAAGAAACTCAGAGCAAAAAAAATGAGTAAAATCGGATACCTAATAAGAAAGTTATGTTGTTTTTTTTTTAAAGCATGAAATACTATGGAACTTAGAAAATCACTTTTACAAATTGCCAAAATGTGTATCAGTTTGTGACGTCGCCATTGCCTCAGTATTTATCAACTGCTTTATGTATATATTTTTATCCCATATATAATTTCCCGTCCCCCAAAACTTGATTTCCCCCATGCCTTTGCCCATGACCATGTTATATATGATCTGTATTATATTGTGTGCATGACATTTAGCAAAATCTTTTATGACCTTTGAAGAATTGATACTATTTTCTGAACATTGTATATTCGTAATCATTGATTTTGGGGTATAAATAGTTTATCAAAATTCCGAACATTCTTTATGATTTAACTGAAAAAATATTACTATATATTAGTGCATCCACACATAACCATTATTATATCCTGCATCAAAAATTTGTTGGCTTTTGATTGGTTGAGAGCTCGTCACATGACCAGAAATATTTGACCTATTTTTAGAAAGTACTATATGAGAGTACTATTTTGGTTTACTATTTAGGAGTTGAAAAAAAATGTGATTTTTTGTTGTTGTTGAATTGAATCATTTTTGTTTTCAAATCTTAATTTAATGAAAATAAAATATTTTAAATCTTTTTAGATAAAAATTGACAACTTTTTTGTTCTAATTTTTTTTTCTCCCAAAATGTTTTTTTTCCCAATTTTTTTTTTCTTCTTTTACAAAAAAAAATTGTGGATGCAGGATATAAAACAAATATACCATGCCTTCTATTCGAGGTACTGGTTAAACTATGGGCCTCGGTGACTCAAAAAGTACCATTTTCTTCGGGGCTGCGCCCCTCAGCAAATAGTACTATTGGAGTCACCTCTTGCGTATAGTTTTAACCAGAACCTCTCAAGGCAGTGTATATAATTATGTATACTATCAATATTTCTTGGATGCTGGTGTGAGGGAATAAGATTTTTAGGCGGGAAATTGGATATTTATATTATCCGAACTATAAGTGGATAGTGAGGCAAGGATCGACGTCTCAGACTCATGGGTGAGTTGTCAATTTGTCTTGTGATTTTCAAAGTTTTTCGTGTCATAACAAATTCGAAAGTTTCTTATAAGTTATCCGATATTGCTCAAACTTTTTTGATTGGTTTGATGATTTCTCTGCTTGAACTTTGGAAAGTAATTTATTTTGGAATGCACTTGCCCTTTGATGTATAGGTAGTCACAAATATGTACTCCCATCATGTTTATCTTGTTGCCTTTTTATGTATCAACCAATTATTTGGTCCAAAGGGGACCCTAAAACTTACAAACTACCAGGGTCTCCTCGTCTTTTTTTGTACTTCATCTTGTTTTTTAAAAATGCATTGCCATAATTTGTTTGCATTGTAAATGTGTAATGATCTAATGTTATTCTCTATGTGACATTTGAAAGAAAGACGGATGTATATATCTTATCTTATATTTTTATTATATATATCATTCTAAGCTGTACCCATATTTTTTTTAGGGAGAAAGGGTGGGTCGAACTGTCTGCCGAAGCACACCCGATCCTGGACAACTCAACCTGGTCGAGTGTCCAGGGTAATGGGTCGGGTTGTCCTGGGTCGGCTGTTCGGTGGTCGGGCTGTGTGGACCCCCATCACAAATGTTACGTATATATAGTTGTAATATCCCGGAACGGCCAGCTAAGGTCCGTTAGCTCAGTCGGTAGAGCGTCGTGCTGATAACGCGAAGGTCGAGAGTTCGAGCCTCTCATGGACCATAAGCTCAATTTTTCCATTAACAAATTTGTAGGTCATTAATTTTAGCAGTATGAATTTTCTTGATTAAAATAATTGAATTTAATGTATTGTAATTGCAATTTTCAATATATTGTATAAAGGTCATGATTTATTTTACTAATAGAGCAATCCTACCATTGTATTTTGTAACAAGTTCATTTCCATAGAATCCATTCGAAGCAGAAATTGTCGCACTGGGACTTCACTAATTAATATTCAGACCTTCACACGCAACTGCAAAGTATGTTGCTTAAAGGGAATTGGGTAACTTTGACTCAGATTCTGAAACAAAATCCTGGATTTAGCTCATGCTGCAATCCTAATTATAAACCTTTAGGTCAGTCAGGAATCCCATGACCTTTACAAGCCAACCGCCTGTTTGATTATCAAGATATTTATGATCGGAAATCAAAATGTCATTTTTTGTTTTCCTAACGGTTTTTATAACACTACAGTCTGTTGGGACAAATGAGTATGGTAGAACCGGTCACTCAAAGATTTTTAATTTTTTGAGGCACTTCATGATCATTTTGAAGCGCATTTTTTTTTTGTTAGGGCTTCAATATTACACCTGCATCAACGAAACTGATAACACGTAGGGCCATTAGATGAAGTTAAATGTAGTTAAATAAAGAAACATGATGTCATCCCTGGGGGGTGTTTCACAAAGATACTCAGTTGAACTTATCTCTAAGTTGGACTTAAAAATTATGGAAAGCCATTAGCATCTTTGAAAATATTTTGTAAAAGTTATTTTGAAAGGCATTAATTGTGTATTCAAATCATTCATATTTTCTATCATCAAGGAGATTTCATGTTCTTGATTTGGAATTTATAAAAAGTCTAAAATACTTGAATTTCTGCTTTTGAATATATTTCATTGTAAGACTCCAATGGCTGTCCATAACTTTTAAGTCCAACTTAGAGTTAAGTTCTACTTAGGATCTTTGTGAAACACCCACCTGGTAGTGTAATCACAATCATGACGATGTAGGGGGGGGGGGAATGGTGTATGTCCACTTTTAAGTTTGCCTTTGTAGGCCTATATAGTTGCCCCTTTTTAATCTCCCAGAAAGTGCCTTTTTTTTGTTCCCCCGGCCCCGACTTTGGAAGCCGCCCCTGCATCCCTGCATTATGAGACTTGGTAGTGATGCGGATTTTGTTCTCCATGCCCCTCCCCCCCCCCCCCTACGCTCCCCGTACGCGCTCAGCATCACCGTCTAGTGGCTCCAGGCCGCCTCCCCTAATTTATAGACTCCCTCGTGTCTCCTTCCATCCGTCTCCTATCTTCCCTCGATCCTTCCTCTCTCTCCATCCCTCTCCCGATCTCACTACCTCCCTCTCCTTCCCTCCTTTCATCCTCCTCAATCCCTCTTCCTCCCTCGACTCCCTTCCCGACCCCCCCCCCCTCCCTCCGGAGTCCGTACGATCCCAATTAACTCCTCCCTCGATAGGGCCTATTCAAAGCTCCTTCTCAGGCCTCCCTAGGGCCCTAGGCCCTCCCCTACCCCCTCCGTCACTCCCTGTGTACAGCTGTTGGAAGGTGTCATGGAGCACGATCGAGGTGTGAGAATGAGGCTCAACCAAAATCTTTCGAGACAATTATGGGCGGGGGGGGGGGGGGGGGGGGGGTACTCAAATTTGGTTTTGACGGGGGTGTGCCACTGAAGCCTCGAACTCCCTACCCATTTTTAACGGTGATATTGGCATATTTTTTTTCTCGAAGAAAAGCCCAGTTTAAAAAAAAAAATTGGTCGGGTCTAGACCTATTTGCGTGTTTGCATCGCAAAAACTCTGAAAATTTTGATTTTTTTTTTTTTTTTTTTTTTTTTTTTTTTTTTTTTTTAAATAGCGGACCCATACTTAAGTGTATTTTTGTTTAAAATGGGACCCATGTTTAGGGATTTTTTTGTGAAAAAGTTACCCATTAGAGCGGCACACCTTTATGTCATTACCCCCCCCCCCCCCCCCCCCCCCCCCCGGGGAAATGGGCCCCTGGGCATTGAGCTCGTGTGCGAAATTTCGGCCACGTCGGCCCCAGGTCAGTGAAGAAAACAAGGTTAGGTAGCTGCCATGCATATTGCATCGATCGCAGCTAGCTAACTTAACTAGCTACATGTAGCTAGCCCGGCGCGCAGTCGAGTCGGGCATCGTAATTTGTACTGAAAACTGGATCCTTGTCTCTCGCTGCCTACGTTGGTCGGTTTAAATTACGTTCAATTCAAAGTCTCACGAACGAGCCGCGACTGTTGTCAAACATCGGTATGGCAGCTAACGACACGAAAACCCCTTTTGATTTTAGTGGTAAGAGTACTTTTATTGATGAATCTTGGTAAAGAAATCCCTTTTTGTTTTCCGAGTCTGCATGATTAGCAGGTAGATCTAGGCCTATGTCCCACCTACTCGTTTTCGTGTAGTATGATGGGGGTTGTGTGTACTGAAGTATGATCGTGATTGTTGCTGCGAGTATGATGACTCTTTCTTCTCTTGGTGGTGGTCTCTAGAATGAAGATCTATGTATCTGCGCAATGATGCAATTTACGTGTGCATGCGCACCCATGCCATTACCAATTTATATTGATTTCACTTGTTGCAGTATTTGTACCGTCTCAGAATGGGGGGGGGGGGGGGGGGGGGGGGGGGAGACATTTATCCATTCCGAACAGTGGTTGTTGACTCACTAGAGAAGACTTTCTCAATAAATCCACTTGCCTTTTAACCAATGTGTTAGCGTACGAAACAAAAAATGCATCGCACCTGAAAGCAATACTTTTTAAAGCTTTACAAATCAAGTTGCTTTGAGTTTGAAATCGATAAATCATGATTGAAATCGGTGATTCAAATCATCCCATTGACTTTTAATTTTTCGTTTTTAAACCTCTACTTCTAGAGCATCAGCACATCCGATACAATCCCCTGAAAGGTGAATGGGTCCTTGTCTCACCACATCGCATGAAGCGACCTTGGAAAGGTCAGGTCGAGAAGGCTCCAGAGCAGAACATCCCCAGAAATGACCCAAAGAATCCCCTGTGTCCTGGGGCTACCAGGGCTCATGGTGATGTAAGTTCAAAGGTCAAAGGGCAGGCATATAAGTTGTTATAAAAAAAGGGCAAAGAAGTTTTTCTGTCGTTGGCTGTGAATTCCGCCTTTGTTCTGCAAGTAAAGTCTAAAGGAAAAAAAAGCAAGAAAATATTAATAATGAAAGTCCCAGTTAACATTCCATCACAAATTGTAAGATCCTTTTGTTTCTTAGATTTTGTAAATCATTATTTCATAACGGTTGATTTTTTCACTGACAATTATTATGATACTCATCAAAATATTTACCCTCGGCTCTCATTGCTGTATTTGTTGACAGGTTAATCCGGACTACCAGAGCACTTTTTTGTTTGAGAATGACTTCCCTGCTCTCTTGCAAGAAGGGGCACCTACTCCAGGTACGTATGGACCAGGCCTTTCAAACTTCTGTCAAGTTCATGTAAGGCCAAATAACAAAAATGAAGTGTTTCTCGTCCCCGCCCGCCTCCATTTTGGCCGCTTTCTCCTTTATTTTACTATTTACTTTGAAGAAAAAAAGCAACAAAAAAAGCCTGTAATATACATTTTGTTTGAATAGCTTCTAAAGTGATACAAATCATTTGTTTTGTCATACATTGCATCAGTATACTCACATAGCACAATATGTGTGAATAAATAAGCTTGGCCAGCTATGATTAGCATGGCAGCCATCTTGGAAAAAATTGCAAAATAGTAAATATTAATGCCGGCCACCTCCTTTTTTATGCCTCCGTTACGAAGTAGCCGGAGGCATTATGTTTTCGGGTTGTCCGTCCGTCCGTCCGTCCGTACGTCCGTACGTCCGAGTTTGCGATGGTATGCTTGTGTGTTTAGTTTTACGTATGAGATATCCTTGTGTGTCACTTTAGACTTGTGTGTCTAGCCACACAAGAAAACTATCATATTCAGTGTCTAAGATGTCTGACATGTCATTTCTAATCAACTAAGATTTAGTCACACAAGAAAAGTTTCTCCCAAAAAAAGTCCCAAAATAAATGTCCAAATTTTAGAGAGGGGTTGTGTCCAAGTAGCCAAACGGAATAGTGCCATCTACAGTTGACATCCAGGTAGCTAGGTACTATGCGCATCTGCAGTACTTGTGTGTGTGTGTGTGTGTGTGACTTGTTAGTGTGTAGTATTTGTAAGCAAAGTAGTAGGCAGTGTATGGCTCTGTGTGTTGTGTGTCATGGGTGGATGGTTTTGTGTGTGCAGTGTATATAATACATGTAATGTTTTTTTATGCCACACAAGCCTTAATTTTCTTGAATTGGACAGGGGTAGACAATAATGTCGTTCTGCCACACTAGCCTTAATTTTCACGACTTGGACAGAGGTATATAATACATGTAATGTCTTTCTGCCACACAAGCCCTAATTTTCTTGACTTGGACAGAGGAAGATAATAATGTCTTTCTGACACACAAGCCTTAATTTTCTTGACTTGGACTGGGGTAGATAATAATGTCTTTCTGCCACACAACCCTCTATTTTCTTGACTTGGACAGGGGTAGACAATAATGTCTTTCTGCCACACAAGCCTTAATTTTCATGACTTGGACTGGGGTAGATAATAATGTGTGTCAGCCACACAAGCCCTAATTTTCTTGACTTGGACAGGGGTAGACAATAATGTGTTTCTGCCACACAAGCCTTAATTTTCTTGACTTGGACAGGGGTAGACAATAATGTCGTTCTGCCACACAAGCCTTAATTTTCATGACTTGGACAGAGGTATATAATACATGTAATGTCTTTCTGCCACACATGCCCTAATTTTCTTGACTTGGACAGAGGTATATAATACATGAAATGTCTTTCTGCCACACAAGCCCATTATTTTCTTGACTTGGACTGGGGTAGATAATAATGCCTTTCTGCCACACAAGCCCTAATTTTCTTGACTTGGACAGTGGTACAGGTAAACATGTAATGTTTTTATGCCACACAAGCCTTAATTTTCATGACTTGGACTGGGGTAGACAATAATGTTTTTCTGCCACACAAGCCTTAATTTTCTTGACTTGGACTGGGGTAGATGACAATATCTTTCTGACACACAAGCCTTAATTTTCATGACTTGGACAGAGGTATATAATACATGTAATGTTTTTTTTATGCCACACAAGCCCTAATTTTCTGGACTTGGACAGGGGGTAGACAATAATGTCTTTCTGCCACACAAGCCTTAATTTTCTTGACTTGGACAGGGGTAGATAATAATGTCTTTCTGTCACACAAGCCTTAATTTTCTTGACTTGGACAGGGGTAGACAATAATGTCTTTCTGCCACACAAGCCCTAATTTTCTTGACTTGGACAGGGGTAGACAATATTGTCTTTCTGCCACACAAGCCCTAATTTTGTTAACTTGGACAGGGGAAGATAATAATGTCTTTGTGCCACACAAGCCCTAATTTTGTTGACTTGGACTGGGGTAGATAATAATGCCTTTCTGCCACACAAGCCCTAATTTTCTTGACTTGGACAGTGGTACAGGTATATAATATCTTTCTGCCACACAAGCCCTAATTTTCTTGACTTGGACAGAGGTATATAATACATGTAATGTTTTTTTTTATGCCACACAAGCCCTAATTTTCTTGACTTGGACAGGGGTAGACAATAATGTCTTTCTGCCACACAAGCCCTAATTTTCTTGACTTGGACAGGGGTAGACAATAATGTCTTTCTGCCACACAAGCCCTAATTTTGTTGACTTGGACAGGGGAAGATAATAATGTCTTTCTGCCACACAAGCCCTAATTTTGTTGACTTGGACTGGGGTAGATGACAATATCTTTCTGCCACACAAGCCCTAATTTTCTTGACTTGGACAGAGGTATATAATTCATGTAATGTTTTTTTTATGCCACACAAGCCTTAATTTTCTTGACTTGGACAGGGGAAGATAATAATGTCTTTCTGCCCCGCAAGCCTTAATTTTCATGACTTGGACAGAGGTATTTAATACATGTAATGTCTTTCTGCCACACAAGCCCATTATTTTCTTGACTTGGACTGGGGTAGATAATAATGTCTTTCTGCCACACAAGCCCTAATTTTCTTGACTTGGACAGGGGTAGACAATAATGTCTTTCTGCCACACAAGCCCTAATTTTGTTGACTTGGACAGGGGAAGATAATAATGTCTTTTTGCCACACAAGCCCTAATTTTGTTGACTTGGACTGGGGTAGATGACAATATCTTTCTGCCACACAAGCCCTAATTTTCTTGACTTGGACAGAGGTATAAAATTCATGTAATGTTTTTTTTATGCCACACAAGCCTTAATTTTCTTGACTTGGACAGGGGAAGATAATAATGTCTTTCTGACACACAAGCCTTAATTTTCTTGACTTGGACTGGAGTAGATAATAATGTCTTTCTGCCCCGCAAGCCTTAATTTTCATGACTTGGACAGAGGTATTTAATACATGTAATGTCTTTCTGCCACACAAGCCCATTATTTTCTTGACTTGGACTGGGGTAGATAATAATGCCTTTCTGCCACACAAGCCCTAATTTTCTTGACTTGGACAGTGGTACAGGTATATAATACATGTAATGTTTTTATGCCACCCAAGCCTTAATTTTCATGACTTGGACAGGGGTAGACAATAATGTTTTTCTGCCACACAAGCCTTAATTTTCTTGACTTGGACTGGGGTAGATGACAAAATCTTTCTGACACACAAGCCTTAATTTTCATGACTTGGACAGAGGTATATAATACATGTAATGTTTTTTTATGCCACACAAGCCCTAATTTTCTGGACTTGGACAGGGGTAGATAATAATGTCTTTCTGTCACACAAGCCTTAATTTTCTTGACTTGGACTGGGGTACAGGTATATAATACAAGTAATGTTTTTTATGCCACACAAGCCTTAATTTTCTTGACTTGTACTTGGGTAGACAATAATGTCTTTCTGCCACACAAGCCCTAATTTTCTTGACTTGGACAGTGGTACAGGTATATAATACATGTAATGTTTTTATGCCACACAAGCCTTAATTTTCTTGACTTGGACAGGGGTAGATAACAATGTCTTTCTGCCACACAAGCCTTAATTTTCATGACTTGGACAGGGGTAGATAATAATGTCTTTCTGCCGCACAAGCCTTAATTTTCATGACTTGGACTGGGGTAGATGACAAAATCTTTCTGACACACAAGCCTTAATTTTCATGACTTGGACAGAGGTATATAATACATGTAATGTTTTTTTATGCCACACAAGCCCTAATTTTCTTGACTTGGACAGGGGTAGATAATAATGTCTTTCTGTCACACAAGCCTTAATTTTCTTGACTTGGACTGGGGTAGATGACAATATCTTTCTAGCAACACAAGCCTTAATTTTCTTGACTTGGACTGGGTAGACAATAATGTCTTTCTGCCACACAAGCCCTAATTTTCTTGACTTGGACAGTGGTACAGGTATATAATATCTTTCTGCCACACAAGCCATAATTTTCTTGACTTGGACAGAGGTATATAATACATGTAATGTTTTTTTATGCCACACAAGCCTTAATTTTCTTGACTTGGACTGGGTAGACAATAATGTCTTTCTGCCACACAAGCCCTAATTTTCTTGACTTGGACACTGGTACAGGTATATAATATCTTTCTGCCACACAAGCCCTAATTTTCTTGACTTGGACAGAGGTATATAATACATGTAATGTTTTTTTATGCCACACAAGCCTTAATTTTCATGACTTGGACAGGGGTAGACAATAATGTTTTTCTGACACACAAGCCTTAATTTTCATGACTTGGACAGAGGTATATAATACATGTAATGTTTTTTTTATGCCACACAAGCCCTAGTTTTCTTGACTTGGACAGGGGTAGACAATAATGTCTTTCTGCCACACAAGCCTTAATTTTCTTGACTTTGACAGGGGTAGATAATAATGTCTTTCTGTCACACAAGCCTTAATTTTCTTGACTTGGACAGGGGTAGACAATAATGTCTTTCTGACACACAAGCCTTAATTTTCTTGACTTGGACTGGAGTAGATAATAATGTCTTTCTGCCCCGCAAGCCTTAATTTTCATGACTTGGACAGAGGTATTTAATACATGTAATGTCTTTCTGCCACACAAGCCCATTATTTTCTTGACTTGGACTGGGGTAGATAATAATGCCTTTCTGCCACACAAGCCCTAATTTTCTTGACTTGGACAGTGGTACAGGTATATAATACATGTAATGTTTTTATGCCACACAAGCCTTAATTTTCATGACTTGGACAGGGGTAGACAATAATGTTTTTCTGCCACACAAGCCTTAATTTTCTTTACTTGGACTGGGGTAGATGACAAAATCTTTCTGACACACAAGCCTTAATTTTCATGACTTGGACAGAG